TATTCACCCTTCAGTCTTAGGGAGTAGCATGCTCTTAACGTGGGCTGGCCGAAGCTTGTGTCTTCCTGGTTACCAGGACACATGTGGTAGGGATGTCTCTGCATCTTGTCCTTCACTGGGACTCGGCAACTAGTTCCTCTGGAGTATTTTCTCTGTGTCCCCACTGCCAGTGCCCAAACTGGTGCTGAAGACTGTGTTCACAACAGTTTTCTAAAGGTATTTTGGAGACAGTTCAGATATAGCAAGTAACCTCTTTGGACCTTCTGAGTCTGCCAGAGATACATGCATCACAACTCCAGATGTTATTGATTCTGCATCAATGTCACTAGTTCTTTTTCTTGCCACTTCAGGTAGAACCAATTCACTCTTATCTAGTGCAAAGTGATAGATAGCCATAAACAGGTCATGCCTTTCCAAATCTCTGGTAGATTTCTCAGTATCTGAATGTCATAGGGTCACAGAGACTGAGGCAGAACCACCTGGACCTTCTGACATGTTTTTAAAAATAGAGAAATTTCAGTGGAAAATAAACTGGTCAGAACATGTGAAATCATGGAGAACTATAGCTTTCCAATTGAGAACTTCTACCCTTGTTTTCCTAATTAGTTAGTAAAATGACTGCATGAAGGTATGGGTGATGCAGATGAGGCAAGTTGACAGACTCTAGTTGCATTTAGGGCTTAGGTGTATGGAACTTGTCAGTGAATTGGTTTGGGGCAAAGCAAGGTATCAAGATGCTCAAGTCGAGCAACTGGGGAAATGGCGAATTCATTTGCTTGAGGGGGATTATTTCTTGCTGTTTGTGTAACTTCCAACAAGTCGCTTAGCAACTTTGTGCTTCAGATTCTTCAGCAGAATTTCAAGATGCCAGTGTCTACCTCACAGATTCTTGTGCCGAAACTGCTTTTCCACAGTGTGTGCTGAGCACTTTAGAGGATAGTAGTAATTCTTATGGCGCATGATATTTGTAAAAGAAAGTACCTTAGTCAACCAGGAATCATTTGACTCACTTAAGATCAGGGGAATATATTGACTCGAAGCCTCTTTTTTATCAAAATGTATTTCTATATTTTAGACAAAGTAAACCCTGTAAGAATGTAGGCTATTGTAGGGCACTTGGAAAATGCTCAACTGGCATTCTGCTTGCAATGTTCTGGCAGTTGTTAGTCTCTTCAACAAAAATTTGAAGATTATTACAAGCACAATTGTGTTTGTGTAAACTAAGGAGGCAAGTGATGGTTGTAAATGGAGCACATTCTCACACAGATTAGTTGATGCTTTTCTTTATGTGATTTTCTTTTGTAAAAATGTCTATGATTTTTTAGATGAATTCAGTCGTTATGACAACATCATATCATTAAAGGGAAAATTAATATTAATTACGTTTTCATTTTGTATCTTAGCCTACATTGATTATAGGCTAAATAATGAAAATAAAATAACATCATTCTTTTTTGTAAATAAACTTTTGCTCACATATTTAGTGTGTTTGATTTTTCTTCTTAAAAAATTTGATCTTCTTGAGTGTAGGAATACTAATAATAGCTATGTATGACTCTTTAACCAACTCGGGCATAGGTGAATAGATATTTATTAAATGGTGGGCTGCAGTTTGGAATTCATCAGTGTGAATCACTCCTGAACTGCAGATGTTGTAATTCTCAAAATAGATTTATTTATTGTCTCTTTCCATTTTTTCTTTTTTCTTTCTTTTTTTTTTTTGAGTTGGAGTCTCACTCTGTCACCCAGACTGGAGTGCAGTGGCCGCTCCCGGCCACTGCGGCCTCAACCTCCTGGGCTCCGACGATTCTTCTGCCTCAGGCTTCCAAGTAGCTGGAACTAGGCGCGCGCTACCACGCCCGGCTGATTTTTGACTTATTGTAGAGATGAGGTCTCGCCAAGTTGCCCAGGCGGGTCTCGAACCCGCGGGCTCAGGCAATCCACTCACCTCAGCTTCCCAAAGCGCTAAGATTACAGGCTGAGCCACTAAGCCCAGCTCCATATCTTCTTATCTGGAAGACTGATTAAAACCAGTTCATATTTAATCACAAAAAATTGCTGTAAACATATCCAGTGTTAAGGAATTTAAGCTGAGTGACCCTACTCCAGCCTAGGGGTGGTAATTAATTTTTACTGAGTTCTTTCCTGTCACGTTCTTTACTTGTTACCTGCTGTTCCTACATTGTATTAGTGTTGTGTTGAAAATGATGCGATTAACCTGAGAAATGGCCAAAGACAAATTCAGTATTTTATTTAAAGTATTGTTTACTCATGCTTCTGCTGTTTAAGTATATGCATATGCATACACACACTACATCTATATTATGTTATACTTATAATATGCAAATTTATTTATGTCTAAAAGTCATCATATTTATTCTGAAACATGAGCAGAATTTGGAAAATAGGTGAATATATTTAAGTGGTTTCAATTTAATTTAGTAATGCATATATATATATATATATATATATATATATATATATATATATATGAAATTTATTTGCGGGAGCTATTACTTAAACTTCTTTTTTTTTTTTTTTTGTTTTGAGTTGGAGTCTCACTCTGTCACCCAGACAGGAGTGCAGTGGCCACTCCCCACCACTGCAGCCTCGACCT